TTGCTGGCCAGTCCCTTTCACCTGTTCATTTGATTCTATCCTTCCATTTTAAGGAAGTGCCTTATCACTTATGCTTTTTCCCTCATATACTGAGCCTTTTTTCAGCTTCACTTTGCCCTCAAGTTAGAAACATATTCAAGCTTCTTCCATCTTAAAATGAAAAACAGGTAAAATCTTCTTTCCTTATAACATTCTGAAACTGGCTTTCTTTCTCATTTCCTAGCTAACTTTTGGAAAAGAATTGGAAAAATCATTTGCTCTCATTGCTTCTGTATCCTGCCATCCTGTTATTTTTCAGCTTCCTGTGTTCTGGCTTCTGCTGCTCCCTGCCATTGAAACTGCTTTTACTTAGGTCACCATTGGCCCCCTTATTGCACAGTGTAATCGATACTTATCAGGGCTTACCTGACCCCTTTGTGGCTTCTAATATTATCCAACTCATCCTCGGGCTTTGGTGACATTTCCTCCTGCCTCTCTGGGTGGTCCTTCCTAGTCTCCTTTAGTAGGGTCCTCTTTCTCTATTGATTCCTTAAATGTCAGTTATCTTCAAGGTTTTGTCTTCTTCCCTTTTATTGGGTTAACTTTGCACATTCTCTATAAATAATCTCATCTACTCCCAGTACGTTAGTTACTTGTGAAGCTACATTTCCTGGCATGCTTTTCTGAGTTACAATCAGTTTGTCCTCCTGCTTACTGGTTATCTTCATCTGGATATGCCATAGGCTTCTCAAATTCAACATGTTGAAAATGGCCCTTTCTGTTCTTCCTGTATTATGTTTTTCAGTGACCAATACACCTTTCTCACTCATGCAAGCTAGAAACCTGGGTTTATTCAAGTCTTGTCAAGCCTACCTTCTTCTTAGCTCTTGAATCTTTTCTCTTTATTTCCATTGCTATTGCCATAGATCAGACTCACCTGATTTCTGAACACCACAAAGGCTTTTAAATAGAGTTTGTTGCCTTTAGCTTCTCATTCTCCCAGTGTATCTTTTAGCAGGTGCATGGATGGAAAGATTTACTATCACTTGACAAATATTTATCAAGCTACATACCCTATCCTGAGAGTTGGTGATACAAATTTGAATGGATCATGGGGGAAGCAGGGAGGCCAATAAACACATAATTATTATACAACTTTAAATGAGTTGATATTTGTAAGGTGTGTTGAACGATGCTTGGCACATATAAATGCTTATTAAAATATGGGGTGTATACAGATAACCACAGGGTGGTGTATGAGCCGAGGGGGTGTTACAGGGAAGCAGGGATAACTGAGTGAAATAATTGCTTCACGATTAGGAAAGAGTCTGGAGGAAAACAGATAGCTGAGTCCTTGTGATTTGTTTCTCTTTTCTGAAGATATTTGTTTGATACTGTCAGAGTCGTGTGCTGGGTTCTTACTCTGATTTAGGCACTGTGTATTTGCGGGGTGATTACAAGCCACTTGGTGGGCCTGGGCTTTGGGCTTTGGTTTCCGTACAAATTTAAAATTGAGGGGGCACTCACATTAGAAGATCACTAAATCCCTTCAATTTATAAGTCTTTGTTCTTAGGACAAGATCATTAGTGGAATATCAGGGGTCGAGTCTTCCAAACAAGATAAGACTTTTCTGTGGATTTCAGGGAGTAAATTGTAAATGTTGAGAAATAATTTTGCTTTTCCCTTATTTGGTACTTCCTCTTTTCCTACAGTTCTTATTTGCTACATGCACACCAAAATTCATTCAGTTAAGATGTCTCCTTTATCGATAGTTACAGCCCTAGTGGACAAGATTGGTAAGTGGTATCATTTTCTATGCCTACTTAGAATTCTTAGTAGTTATAAGATATTTTTGAGATTATAGGGAATATTCTCCTTTTATGGGGAATTTTAAGGTATATATGTATATTGAAAATGTTTAGAGTGCTATATACCAAGATATTTATTATAATTAGGTAGAAGGGTTTTTGCATGATTCCAGTTTTATTTTTTATATTCTTTGCATTGTCTACGTTTTTCAAAAAGACATATAGATTTCTTCTGCGTGTCAAAAAAGTTATTTTAGTTTTTAAGAAATAAATGTAGTAGAATTTGCCATAATTTCAAATGAAATTGTCCATTTACAGTACAGAAAATTTTTGGTATGATTTGGACCCTGATTGATTTTCTGTTTTGCAGATATGTGTAAGAAAAGCTTAAGCCCAGAACAGGACATTAAGTTCAGTGGCCATGTTAGCTGGGTTGGGAAGACATCCATGGAAGTGAAGATGCGGATGTTCCAGGTATATATGTGCTTGAAGATTGTCTACTGTTCAAATATAACCAACTAGTCTCAGTGCAAGAAAAGCTTATTTACCTATCTATCCATAGGCAGGTGTATTGTTCACCGCTTCTAGAAAAACAGTTAAAACTTTATGTCACACAGATGGTGGGTTATTAATATCTTCCTTCTGAACAAAGATTGACACATCATTTGGTGTTCACATTTAATATTTATTACTTTCCAATCATATACAGCTCCACGTTAAAGAGCTTATTTCTAGTTTTGCCCAGGAAAATTTCACAACAGTCTGAGTTATGTTAGGCATGCATGGGATTGATC